ATGCTTACTGTGGCCTTTAAACTCCACTGAAAATGCCTCTTGTTATTGCTGGCTAATGAAGAATGTCGCTCTTTTTTAATAGTTTGAACACACTCCACAGTGTTGGCCTGAAAGGCCAATTTAACATTGGAGAGCCTCCAATGCAAGAATCTTTAACTTTACCTTTTAAACAGTTCATTGACATTGTTCTAATTGCTTTCTTTCCCCCTCATTGGCAGTATTTTGATCTGGTTGACAGTGCAAAATGCAGTCCTTTATTGTCAAGACTTGGAAAGTTATACCAATGTCTTTCCCATTGATTAAAAGGTTTATGTCATAAGAATGGCTCCCTTTACCTCTTCCTGCCATTCTCAATGCCCAGGTTACAGACAGACAGCGCACAATATGTTTAGTGGCACTAAAAAAAATATTCTTTAAAAAAGATACAAGAGCTGAGTATGTAGCTTAATGGTAGAACTCTTGCCTCACATGCATGAGGCCCTGGGTTCCAACCATAGCACGGGGGGGGGGGGGGCAGAAGATTTAAGACCAAAAAACCCCCCATTATCCTTTTGTATTTAACAGAGAAAATTAAACTTTCTTCCCATTCAAAATACCAAGAACAAAAATTAGTGTGTAGGTACTGTGGCTTTAGATACTGTTATCACCTGCTAAAACTCTCAGCACAGAAAGAGGGTTCAGAGGCAGATTCTAGAAACAGACAGCAGGTGTTCAAACTCCAGTGCCAGTGCTAAGTAGCTGTGTGATCTTAGGCAAATTATTCTCTGTGCCCTGGTGTCCTTATCTATACAATGAGAGTTCCTACCCCAGCGCATTGTTGTGAGCATGTGAAATGCTTAGATTACTGTATCCAGCATGGGAAAAGTAGTCACCACTATCACCCTATAACAGAACAGGGCTAAAGATGCAGCTCAGTTCTGGAGTAGCAAGGATGAGGCCTGGGATTCATCTGAATATTTGTATGTAGTGGAGTACTGAAAATTTTTTTTTTTTTTTTAAAGATATTTTATTTATTTAGACTGGTAGGAAAAATACAAAATGCATTGGTCATTTAAAACATGTAGTCTCCCTTCTTAAAAATCTACATTCATTAATCTTGTTTTCTTTTTTTTTTTTTACCATAATTTATCTTGCTATCTTTTTTTTTTTATTTAAGGAGAAAAGAAAAAAAAACAGAGAAAGGGTACAAGTTATACAGATTTGCAGAAAAAAAATGAACAGTAGGAAATCACTAGTTAATGGATTACATATTGTCATCTTAGAAATAATTGTTCAAGTCACAAAATTACAGCTTGTAGAGTGGACATTCCATCAATGATACTGCAAACAGTTCTGTTCAATGATCCAATAAAACTCTGTGATATCATTTTTTATCTTATACACTTAAATATACATGCAGTTATATAGTTTAGAGCACTTTCTTTTCCTCTCATTTGTACAATGACTATTACTCATTTTGGGTTTCATTGCTTCCACGGTTCTTATTACTTTTTTGGAAGAGAGTAAAACCAAATGTGACATAACAGAACAGAATCGGTCAAGTCAAAAGGGTGGACATAATAGATAATGTGGAAACATAATACAAGGTGATCAACAATGGTTACCATAATGCCTCCCGCTATCTCTAATAGAATTGCCTGTATCGTTAGTTATAATACAATTGAACAAAACAGTAAAGAATAAAACCGACAAAACCAAAACATTGGAGACATTGTAGGTCTTCAAAAGTAGATAAAAGTCAACGAGAATGGGCGTTATAATGAATCTCATTATCTTCACAGCTGATGCCTAAATTTTCGAACCTGATACTATCCAGCAAAACAGAATAGGGGAACATCAGTTTAAAACCAGATGGTGAGAGTAATACAGGGCTTTAAATCGAGGTAATGGAAAGTCAAAGTGGGTTACTATAATATATCCTGCTATTTTTTTCCTTTAATTAAAAGGATAAAAATAAAAAAGTAAATAATGGAGTGGAGATTGAGATAAAAGAGGGCATAACAACGAAACAGCACAGATCAAAACATAACCATTTAAGCAGAATAGTGTTTCACCACCAGATAATCCTGACCTAAAAGTAGTTACCATATTGTCTCTTTCCTTGAAATCCTTGAGTACAACTTCGTATACTGTAGCATTAAGTATATCAAAACAATGTAAAACCATTTAAGAGAATGACAGCATTACAGAGTATTTCAAATCGACTAACAGAAAATGAACAATGGTTTCTGTATAATCTCCTTGTCTTTAAAAGGTTTTTGCTTATACTATCGTACATAATAAAATCCAGTAAGATACAACCTATTTAGACCATTGGAGACAGAAGGACAAAAGCTAGATGAGACTTCAAAACAAGATGATACTAAATCAGTATTACCTATTAAGATGTAATTTTCTCCAAAAAAGCTGTTCCTATCATCCAATCTTCTCTGTCTCATTTCTGTTGAGCTCTTATTCTGTCAGTAGCTGTCAGTTTGTCTTCTTCACTTTGTTCTCTGCTCCATTCGTTGTGGCCTCCACTATTTCTGGATTCTTTGTATTTTTCTTTTTTTAGAATATCCTGCAATACTCTCTGTAGAGTTGAATTGGTGGTTGCAAATTCCCCCAGTTCCTCTTTATCCTGGAAGCACCTTGTTTTTCCATCAATTTCCAGGGATAGTTGTGCAGGATATCTCAATCTTGGCTGGAGATTATTATCTTTCAAAGCTTGAATTATTTCCCCCCACGCTCTTCGTGATTTGATGGTTTGTGCAGAGAAATCTGCTGTAATTCTGATGGGTGTTCCCTTGTAAGTGGTCTGTTTCTTGTCTCTGACAGCTTTTAATATTCTGTTCTTGTATTGAATTTCTGGAATTTTTATTATTATATGCCTGGGTGTTGCTCTGTTTGGGTTGTAGGTGGCTGGGGTCCTGTATGCCTCATACATCTGAGTATCTTTACCTTTTGCTAAATTAGGAAAATTCTCCTGGATTATTTCTGTGAGTAGCTTTTGTAGTTCACTTGTTTGTGTCCCTACTTCTTCTTTTATGTTCTTAATCCTTAAGTTATGGATCCTCTTATCATCTTCTTGTCTTTGTATTATTGCTGTTTGTTTCTTTGTTATTTTTAAGAAGTTTTTCATTTCATTCTCCCATATTACAAGTCTGCCCTCCAGTTCAGATAGTCTGTCCTTAGTTTCTTTCAAGCTGTTATGCCAGTCTTCGATAGACTTCTTAGTATCTTGGTAGTCCCTTTGAACCTGCTTCACGTATTCTATGCTTTCTCTGTTTTCTCCATCAAACAATTCTCCCCTTTTTTTCTGTTCTTCCATTCCACCACCTGTTTTTTCTTGGGTGGTACTTAGCATTTCTCTAACTATTCTGCCTACTTCTAGCTTCAGGTCATTGATAACTTCATTCCTGAATTGGTCTATGAGGCTCTCTATATGGTGCCTTATGTGTATTGGTGCGGTGTCTGCTATTGCCTGATTCTCAGAATTGGGGGCCGAGGAGCCTTTCTTGTTGCTGCCTCTTCCCATGCTGCCTCTTCTTCTCTGTTCCTTATATATGCAAGCTTATATAAGAGGCCCAGCTTCTCTCCCAGTCAGCCACAGCCTGATCGAATTGCGCCAGTTAGGTGTTCCCGCTCACCGCTGCGCACCAGGGAGTTACGGACCAGGCAGCCTACGCGTCTCCCCTCCCGGCCACCGTCAGGCTCTTGGATCTGGGTTGGGACAGCCTACGGGGTCCGCTGGCAGCGTCACGCAGGCCAGGCACTTTTCACCAATCCCGCCCGAGAGGGGAATGTGTGGCTGGAGTCGCCACCGCGCCCTGCTCCCGCAGGACTGCTCGGGCCCAGAAAGTCTGCTGGAGTCAAACTGTGGCTCAAACTGTGGCTGAGTGTCAGCCTCTCTCACTCACCTCGCCACAAGTCAGAACATGCCTCCCTGCCCGTCCTGTTTTCGACTCCGTTCGCAGACTCCCGCTCCCAGAGTTTCTGCGCGTCTCTCTCCTTGCCGAGCCGATGTAGAGGCAGCCAGCCACCGCGCGGCGGGAAACCCAAATCGCAGCTTCCAATGGCGCGGGGTCCAGCCTTGGCAGCGAGGCTTTTCTGTTCCTGTTTTAGCACCAGGACTGCATTCCAAGTTGGTTTCTCTCAGCCGAGTTAGTTCCTGAGTCAGCAGAGCATAACTCCACCAGCTTATGTCTCTTTAGTCCGCACCATACCTGGCTTCTGAGCCTAGTTTTTCAGAGAGCCTCCGGCAGTTGCTGTTATCTGTCCGCCATGTTCTCCCGCCACTCTGGAGTACTGAAAATTGCCTATCGCCTGCACTGTCTCGGTTTTTGTAAGTCCACTGTGATGTTCTTACAATGATAAAATCACCTAATAACGTATTTCAAACTATATCCTGTTATTGAACAACACATGAATGTCTACTTTTAGGAAAGTAACCCCCCACAGCAGACTTCCCCCCATGGCACTAGCCAGAAATGGATCACAAGCTCCCTTAGACCAGAGGCTGAGCCCTTCCTTTGAGAACTAGAGATCTGCACCAAAACTCCAGGAGCATCAGGGAAGGAGGAAAGGGAGATCAGCTCTGAGACAGACAGTGAAAAGCATCTGCGCCCAACCCTCATGAAGAGGCTGATTATTGACCTTGGAAAGGCAGCTCAGAAATTTGAACTATTTTTGTAATAGTTGAGTTTTAATTGCAAAGAAAGTAACTTTTCCAAGTAGTTTTACACGTCTTTCAAATTGTAGAAGCACAAAACATAGATCCTGCTTGACCCTGTCCAAGGAAAGGTGAGCATCCACAACCAGGACCCTTCCAGTGCCAGACAGTCACGTGGCGCAGGGTCACAACTTGAGTAGTACCCCAACGGCCCTGTGTGGTCAAAGCCCCTAAATTCTTAATGATTGGCCTGTCAGAGGCACCAGAGTGATCTCTTGCAGTGATTACACAAGCAGTCAAACAAAACTCTGGTGATGGTTTAGAGCCAAAGTACAAAGGGAGGCTGGGACGTGAGCTCACAGGTTCTAAGGAGGCTTGGAGCCAGAGCTCAGCGTGTGACCAGCCCTTGTGACTCAGAGCCCGTGAGCAGGCCCCGACAGACGGCTGCTTTGATTCTCCGCACTCCCATGTTGCATGTCCTGTTTATGAACCTCTGCATCCCTGACTCCGCAAATGGATAAAGGAGGGAAAAATCCAATAAAGACTAAGAAGGAAAGCAAGGTAACTTTTAAAATCAGCAATCTTGAAGTATCCATTTTGTAAAGAGTTTTCCTTTTTTGTTGTTTGGTTGGTTTCAGTATTTTGAGACACAGTCTTCCTATGTAGTCCAAGCTGGCCTTAAACTCACTGTCTCCCGTGCTAGCCTCCAACTGATGAGAATCCTCCTGCCTCAGCCTCACAAGTGCTGGAATTACAGGCGTGTGGCACCATGCCCAGCCAGAAGAGTTTTTGATATAATAGTTTTTATATACTGTTTAAGACTTTGGTTGCTCAGGGGCTGGCAGAGCACTTGCCTAGCATGCATGGGGCCTTGGGGTTGAGTCCTGTCACCACAGGAAAATAAAATTGAGTCGCTCTACTTGTTCCTTGCCAGTGTTTCTCAGCTTTTCCCCCCCATATGCGACTTCAGTGGCTCCTCCGCTCTTCTAACCATCTCGCCTGCCTGTGAGACCCAGCCGTAAACAGAGACGAGTTAATCCAGACTCCTCCTCACATCTGCTCAGCACAGGTAGGAGCAATCATGAGAAATAACAGATTTATAAGGGACAAATGAAACAGTCTTTCACAAACACAATTGCCTTCACCAAGTAGATAACACTGACTTTGTATAAGTTTCCTCTTATAGGAAGATGGTGAAAAGTTGTTGGAAACAAAAATGAAACATACCTCCATTGTTAAACTTTGTAAGCCTACAAACTCTAGTCGATCTGTACTTCTTCTAGAAATTTAAATATAGCTATGGGGTGCTTTCTGCTTCAGTCAAACATTGTACTTTTTCTTTTCAGTACCAGAAATCAAACTCATGACCTCATACTCACCAGGCAGGCGCTGTGCCACTGAGCTACATGCTCAGCCCCAAACATTGTATTTTTTGCCTCTTATTACCTGCCACCCTAACACACACACACGCACACGCACATGCACACGCACAGGCACAGGCACAGACACAGGCGCAGGCACAGGCATGCACACTCTTAATAGAATTCCTATTCTGTGGAGACCGGATAAAAAGGCCGGCCAGCAGGGAGTTTGTGCCAGCTTCCAGCTATCGCCCCCCCTCCCGCCCTGACTGCGGTTCCCCAGGATGCCGGATCTGAAATCCAGCTCTGCTCAGCTATCTCGGCCCTGGAACTCCTCCTGTTCCGTTTGGTGCTCTCCTCACTGAACCGGAGTTCTCTTGCCTCTATTTCCTTATCCTTCACTTAGAGGTGTTAAGCAAATTCCCATTTTATTTTCCATCATTTTATGTAAGCAATTAATGAAAATATACCAGTTAGCTATAAAGATCCATCAGCTCTTTAGGTTCATGTGATTATTAAAACAAAAGTGCATAAATGTGCGAGAAAGTTACTGACCAGAACTAGTGAACTAAGAAAACACTAAAGGTGGAGGACGAGGTGGAACCTTTCTGGAATGCAGCCTCTTACAGAAACTGATCTGCTACAAGAAAGGACATGTCGTTATGTATTTCTCTGAGCTATGCATTCTATAAAATCACACTTTAAACATTTTTCAGTATTTTCACATGTACACTAAAGTCAGAATGTTTCATGCTACTTTTTATATGCATGAAACTTTATCTTATAAACAAGAATTGAAATTGAAATTCTGAACTTCAGTCAACAAGAATGCCATAGACTAGAGTCTATTCTACGCCTTGGCCTATAACAATTTGAAGCTACTTTGTTTAGATCCTAATTTAATGAATAAAAATGTCTAAAAGTTATTGGAGGATCTGATATAATTTAAAGGATATAATAACACTTATGTAGTATGCCTGCCCAAAATGTACCTTAATCTAATTAGCACACACCTCCAAAATGAGGAACAGTCTATAAGAAATTGACTTTTGAAATAGTAATGTCATGAAAGATAAAGCAGGCTGAGGGAATATTTCAGACTAAAGGAAATGGATAAACATAACTAAATACAATTCAATATCCTGAAAAGGGGGGTGAGGTGGCCGCTTTAAAAGAAGTTTTTGGAATAATTGGCAAAATGGGATACTTGTTATGGTAGTTGATGTTACATTTTCTGATTTTGCTCATCACAGTGTACTAATGCACACAAGAAAATGTCCTTGATCTTAGCTAAAAAATATAAAAGTAGTCTGGCATGGTGGAACACATCTGTAATCCTAGCACTCTGGGAGGTCAAAACAGGAGGACAGAGAGTTCAAGCCCATCCTAGGCAGTTTAGCAAAACCCTGTCTCAAAAAATAGGCTAAATGGCCAGGCATAGTGACACATGCCTATAATCCCAGCATTTGTGAAACAGAAGGATTGCTGCGAGTTCAAGGACACCGTGGGCTGCAAAGTGCATTCAAAACCTTCCTGAACTGCAGAGTGAGATCCTGTCTCAGACAAAAGAGGCTGGGAACTACCACAATGCAAATGCCCTAAGTTTACTCCCCAGCGCTAAAAAAAAAAAAAAGAAAAATGAAAGAAAGAAAGAAAAACAAAATAAAAGTAAAGGAGCACAATGTCTACAATTCACAGCTCACTTTTTTTTTTTAGAGACAGGGTCTCACTATATTGCCCAGGCTGGAGTGCAGTGGCTATTCACAGGCCCGATCCCACTACTGATCAGCACGGGAGTTTTGACCTGCTCCGTTTCCGACCTGGCCAGTTCACCCCTCCTTAGGCAACCTGGTGGTCCCCCGCTCCCGGAAGGTCACCATATTGATGCCGAACTTCGTGCGGACACCGATCGGCATAGCGCACTGCAGCCCAGAACTCCTGGACTCAAGCGATCCTCCCACCTCAGCCTCCCGAGTAGCTGGGACTACCAGGCGCACGCCATCACCCCCGGCCACAGTTCACTTTTAAGCAGGGTATAATAACAGCATGTGTACATATATATGTATAATACATATATATGTAAATTTGATAGATATGCAAATGTGGCAAAAATAAATATTAAAATTAGTGAACCCAGGTAAAGAGTCCATGAGAGTTCTTAAGTTATTCTTTAACTTTCCTGTATGTTTAAAATTATTTCAAAACAAAATTGACAAATTTTGAAGTTATAGGTATCCTCCTGAAATCAGTTGCCTGAGAGATTTTACTGTGGGCCAACACTGAAATATCATCTTGAGCAAGGTATGGATGACTAAGATGAGATCAAAAGTTTTACTATCAAGTTTTGCAAGATTTATTTCTACTGTAAAAAGAATGCAGGAGACGAACAGTCGAGTGCGGCAAGTGGTCATTAACTCAATTACATGTAATGGGAATTCTGCCCGTTTCCTCTTTTTATCTCCACTGCGGAAAACCAGTTAGGGAAAGAAAGCCCAGATGGCGTGAACGCCTCCTCTCACCCCACTTGCCTTCCACCCAGATCAGCCTGGACTCTCTAGGGTCCCTCACATCTGCAGGCCTGCGATCCCCTCCATCCTCAGCACCCCTGGGACCAGGCTCCCACAATTTTCTGCTTAGAGCATCCCATGCCACAGCCTCCTGGGAGCCTTTCCTGTCCCTCCAGAACTGTGCTGCCCCCAAGAAGTAGCTTCTGGCGCATGCAGCTGTCGAGCATCTGCAAGGTGCTGGCTTAAGCTGACATGTCCTATAAGACACACACTGGGTTACCAAGGTTTTATGTGGGGGAAAAAGTGTAAAATATGTCCTTAATAATGTTGTAAGTTGATGACCTGTTGAGATGATAATGTTTTCGATATGTTGAGTTAAGGAAAGCATATTATTCAATTCACTTTAACTGGTTCTTTTTCCCTTTTAAATGTGGCTACCAGGAGGTTTAATTTACACACATGCCTCGTGTTATGTCTCTGCTGGACAGTGCGTCCAGACAGGACTGAACAGCCTCTTCCTTCACACACTGGCTGACATCTAACAGCCTCTGCATATGCTTCCTCACCTGACTGGTGTCCCCTACAAGCTATAAGTTCCTTAAATCCAAGAGCCTTTTTCTTTTTTGGTGCCGGGGATTGAACTCACAACCTTGTGTTTGCCAACTAGGCACTTACACCGCTGAGCTAAACCCCTAGCCCCTGGGAGGCTTTTTCTCCTTCGTAACTTCAGTTTCTAGCATCATACCTGCCACTCCTGATGAAAGGTACTATAGGATTAATCATGAATGAGCATTCTTTTTTGTCTGGGTGAAATTCCCATAACAGTATTAACCAAAATGAACAATTCAGTGGCATCTTGTACATTCACGGTGATATGCAACCTCTTCTGATCAAATTCCCAAATATTTTCGTTGCTGCACAATAAAACTACTATTCCCCATTCCCTCCTCTAGGCTGCTCCTTGCAGTCACCCAATCACCAGTCTGCTTCTGCTTCTCTGAATTTTCCTATTCAGACTATTTCTCATGAACAGGATGGTGTAATATATGACTTTTTTTCCCTTGAGATAGGGTGTCACTATGTAGCCCAGACCAGCCTCAAATTTGCAGTGATCGTTTTGTCTTAGCCTAAGTGTTGGGATCACAGTTATGTGCCACAACACCCGGCTCCTGATGTATGGCCTTTTGTGACCGCTTCCTTTTTGAAATTTTCACAAGGTAGTGAGACATGGAAGTTCATTATTCTTCCTGTTGGCATTTATGTTTGGAACTTTCCACACTAAAAATTCAAATAACAGCTTATACTGCTCTGTCTTTTCCTCTCGATGAGATCTCGTGTGCTTATAATTTTTGTTCATGCCTTGGTGGATGATGACCATTGTAGGAAGAGACCTTCACCAGCACTTGCTAATTAAATTCTATCTGACGTAGAAAAAAATTCCCTTGAGATAAAGGTGGATTTAGGTTTCATAATAAGGATCTAAGGTGTATTCTATCTGTATAGTTTCCTGACCTTCCTCCACAGCCAACTTCCTTTTTGATTTCTGGTCTAGCTGTTCCTACTGGCCTTATCATGTATTTCTAGTGAATGGGTACAGTGCTGCTGTTCCAGGGCTCTAGACGTTCCTGGATAATTCCACTTGTCATAACACTGAAAGCCAGCATTACACTGCTGTTCTCATTTTCCCCTCTTCTTTCTCTCACTGTTTCTTGCTTGTATCCAGCTGTTTTCCAATTACTAAAGGTAGAAAAGAGCACATTCACCATGGCCTCCAAAACTGCACAGTGCAACATGTAGCTCAGGATCCATCTCGGCACCACAAAACAAACAAAACCCACACAGCACAGAGAAATCCCACACACACAACTACACAATAAGCATTTATATCTTACTGTCTTTCTACACTAAAAGTTCAGAAAAAGCACTCTAAACAAAGCTAGAATTTAAATGGTATAGTCCACATTATTCTATATCTACTACTCTGATTTCACATAAGGTCAGGAACTCGGTGAGAAAATACATTTTTAAAAAATGTTTGCAGCAGCAATCAAGAAGAAAGGGGCTGGGGATTCAGCTCAGCAATGTAAAGCCTGCCTGGCAAGCATGAGGTCGTGAGTTCAATCTCCAGTACCAAAAAAAAAAGAAGGAAAAAAACAAATGACTGACTGAGAAAGATACACTAAAATTTGTGGCCCGTTTTCTCTTATCTGAAAAGTAAGGGGGAAACATTTTGGTTGGAAAGCCTTTTTAAAGCTTAGTAAACCTTGGGAACAGGAGACGTTGGTTACCCACTCATGCAGAGAGCACCCAGACATGAGAGACTGGAGATCTAGACATGAAACACAAGTCTCTGAGTCATTTGCTAGGCTTAAATCTGAAAACCGTGACTCCGATTACGGCATGTTCAAAGGCCCCCTTAGGTAGTCACGTGGGCTGTCTCTCTCTTTGAGGTGATCCCTTTATCTTCAATTTATTCTTCCCTCTCCACTCTGCCGAATGTCAGAGGGTTACTTTCAGCAGCTCTGTCCCTTTTGGGAGCTGCTTTCCTTCATTATTCCTGTGATCCACTTTTCTTCACAAATAGAATTCTCTGCTGACTCACCACTGCGTAACTGCCAGACAAGAAAATGGTCCCTCAAAGATGTGCACCCCTTAACCCCCAAAGCTGTCAGTATGCTGTAGGGTAGAAGAGGAAGGTCACAGGTGAGCGGAGGCATCTGATCAACTAGCTCAAGATACGAGATGATGCTGGATCATCCAGGTGGGTCCAGTGTAAGCACAAGCATCGTGTAAACAAGGGAAACGGGAGAATCAGCGTCAGAAGGGTGAGGTACAGAAAAGACTCGATCAGCCATGCCTGGCTTTGGAGACCAAAGGAGACCACAAGCCAGGACGTGGAGGAAGCTTCTAGAGAGTGAAAAACACAAAGAAACAGATTCCTCACTCGAGCCACAGTGCAGACATTTTGACTTTAGCCCAGTAAGACTCATTTCAAACTTCTGACTTTCAAAAAAGAGAGATGAGAAATCTGTGGTAAGACTGAATTTCTGGCAATTTGTTATAGCTGCAGTTCAGAACAAATACAGCAGTGTTTACAAGAGGTAGGGAAGAGACCAGAGCTAATTTTTATGACCCCACCTAAAAATACTCAGTGTGAGACATTTCTAACATTAACTGCAGTCTGCTGTGATTCCTGAGTGTGGCAGTGGCCTGCCACTCCACGTGGGCCCTTCAGTGGCTGCTGCTGTCATCCTGTGTCACATCCTGCTGCTCGAGTAAGGATTGCAGCCACTAGGAAGATGACTGAAATCAGGGTTCTTAGAAGCAGCTAGGAACATCTCTCAAAACACAACTATTACTTGCCTTCCTCAGTGTCATTTTTAATAGAGTGACCGTCCGTGTAAACCTAAATAATTGAAATGTTTCCCTTCTTTCAATGAATTATTTCAAACTTTTTTCACAGTTACAATTTTTATTTTTCAAAACTAAAACAAAGTTGAGGGATACTTTTATCCCAAATAGCCTTGTTGCAAGGAATAACACAAAATAAACTGTATATTGCCAACTGCTGATTATGAAGAGATAGACTATCCCATTCATATTTCTTTGAAATCAAGAACTAGTTTTAAAAGGAAATAATTTGCTGTTCCCTGTTCACTTCCATCCAGCAGCCGAGCTGCATCACGGCCCTAGTCATGCTCCTTCTTTATTGACCAGCAAAGTGAGGACATATAAAAGACAAATTTGATCATCACATTTCCTTAAAAAAATAAAATAAAAATAAAGCTTTATAACAGAATAGTTTAACGCTTCCAATTTTTTAGAAACAGATGTGGTTAGTGTAGCCAAAAACACAAACCCGAACCATGCCAACAACAGTTAAAATAATTTGTCCCTAAATTGGAACACCTTATTATAAAAATCACACACACTGTAAAATGTAAAGAGAATCAAATAGATTACTTACATCAAACTAGTATTTTCATTATTCTTTATTCATCTATACAGTATTTAAAAACTTTTATCTCCATGAGCTGAAGTAAAAATGGATTAAAGATCTAAATATTAAAAAGCAATAACACTAGGCCAGGGATACAATTCAGTGGATAATTGCCTGCCTGGCAAGTGCAAGGTCCTGAGTTCAATTCCCAGTATCAAAAATAAATAAATCAAATAAAAATAAAACAGAAACATTAAGTCTACTGGAAGACAAAGTAGGTAGAAATCTGGAAGACATAGATGTAGGCAGAGACTTCAGGAACAAAACCCAAACTGCACGGGAAGAACTTCAAGCAATTAACAACTGAGATCTCATCTTACTAAAAGGTTTTTCAAAAACAAGTAAAAAATAAAAAGCTTTTTCACATCAAAAGAAATCACCAATGGAGTGAAAAAACAACCCACAAATTGGGAAAAGATTTGAGCCAGTTGTCCTTCCAAGGACTTCTATGTGGAACATACAGAGTATTGGGAAAAAATTAAACCCTCCAAATTCAAAGATCCAATCCAAAAATGGGCATCTGAGATGAATGCACACTTCTCAGATGAAGAAGTGCAAACGGCAAATAAATTCATGAAAAAATGTTCAACGTCATTGATCATTTGAGAGATGCAAGTTAAAACAACACTGTGATTCCTTTGCATCCCAGAAAGAATGGCTATCATCAAGAAATCAACCAACAACAAATGCTGGAGGGGCTGTGGAGAAAAAGGGACCCTTCTTCTCTGTTGGTGGGAGTGCAGATGGTGCAATCACTGGGGCAGTCAGTATGGAGATTCCTTGAAAAGTTAGGATGAGAGGCCCCATTTGACCCAGCTATTTCCCTTCTGGGTATCTTCCCAGAAGAATTAAAAACATCATACCACAGTTATGTATGCCCACCAATATTTATAGCAGCACAGTTTCTTCTTTTTCACTTTTTTTTTTAATCGGTACTGGGGATCGAACTCATGACTGCCTGCACTTGCAGGACAGGTGCTTATGCTGCTGAGCTAAATCCCCAACCCCTTGCAGCACAGTTTTTAATAGCTAAATCCTAAAACAACCCAAACGCCCATCAACCAAGGAATGGATTTATAAAAAAAAGACGTATTCTTATACAGTGGAGTACTACTCAGCCATACAAAGGATAAACTTAGATTTATATAGGTAAATGGATGCAATTTGAAACCACACTCATCCGCGAAATAAATCAGACTCACATGTGTAAACATAATATTGTCTCCTTGATGTGAGAAACTGAAAGAGTAAATAAGGTCTAAAATGTACACTAGATATTGTGAAATGGGAGTCAGTTATTCAAAAGGAAAAAGGAATAAATTATTCAAAAGAGAGAAAGAGGGAAGATAAAAAATGCAAGTTAGTTATACTATTCGTGTCTTTTAGTTCATAAAAAATGAAAGTTTTTGCTGATATTGATTGGAGAATTTTTTATGACCTTATCTTGCACTCTGAGTATTTCCCTAAATCTTGTTATGAAATTTGTTTTACCTTTCTTCCATAAAATTATATTTTAAAAAACTCTTTCTTTTTTTATCGGTACCAGGTATCGAACTCACGACCACCTGTTTGCAAGGCAGGTACTTATGCCACTGAGCTAAATCCCCAGCTCCTAAAAAACTCTTTTCTATAGTGACAAATAATGTGTTCTTGTCTGGATCTTTCCTTCATATCTGCTTCAAAGGCCAAAAAAAAAAAAAAAAAAAAAAAAAGCTCCAAAGAGTTCTGTTTTGCCTAAGGATACAAAGTTGGTCAGTTCTGCTCAATGGTTATTTAATTTCTGTTCCCCATTAATACAACCGAAACATAAACATAAATCAATACCCCAAATTTCACCTCACACCAAAGTAGGACTCTAACTTCCCAACAGTGGTCACAACGACGTGCCATGGAGAAAGATCACATAAAGCGTTCATGTTGCCACATTTTCTGCATAATCGATAGCCAGAAATAATTTGACTGTACAAAATGTTCCAGACAAGTTTGTTTTCACCCTTCTTGCCTACTTGCCATGAAATAAATACACAGTGTGTTTTATGCAGTTGATCCACACAAATGGTTTGAGAGTGATCACTCCATGTAACATAGGTTGTTCTAAGAATTACATGGAATTACACAGATACCCTAAATGTGCATTTGAGTACATTTCTAAGCTGTTGGAAGCCTGTGCTGCTGTTTCCAGAACATTCTGGTGTGACAGTATACATATATTATTAGCCATATATATATATACAACAAAATTTCAGATGACTGGAGAGACACTTCCCCACCTAGCTCCTCTTGGGGACAGGAACATACAAACATTTGCTAGCATTAGGGGCAGCTGGTCATCCACGTTGCAGAAAAAGATGCATGTCTGCACGTGAGCTGGGAGAGTGCAGGGTAGGGGGAATACAGTAAACTCATCCTCAGCGAGGTTGGAGAGTTAAAGTTTTATTTGGTAAAGAAAATTAAAATAGGGACGTAGGATATGAAGTTCCCTTAAAACTGGTAGATGCACATCTGAAAAATGAATAAATAGATGCCAAGGGAGAGTGAGTCACAAGCACATGAGTTGTGAGAGGTTGAATTCAAGAGAACACATCAGGCAATGCTGCTTAATGCCATCACATGATCTGCCCTGAGGCCCTGAGTTTCATTAAAATAGAGAGGGGTGCAACAGAGCCCAGGAGACCGCTGTTGTCTGAGGATCGCGCAGAAGAAGGAAGCCCTGGTTTGCCCGGGCTTGTGAAAACTCAGCATGGAATGCCTCTGCTGGGTCGTGGGATTTCTGCTGCTGGCCGCAAGACTGCCCCTGGTTGCAGCCAAACGTGAGTAATTCTGCTTCTATGTTTCACCCATTCGCTAGGTCTTGGTCTGAAGGATTGGGTCCCAGTGTCCTCTGCCAAAATGGACCGAAGCTCCCAGTGACTCCACTCATTTCTTCCTCTGCAAACTGTTGGGAGTGCTACGATAGCAAGATGTCTGCACCCACAGTCTTTGCTTTGGGCTCACAGGAAGCAGAAACCACATGATCCCATGTGGCTGCCTTCCACCCTCTCTTGCGGAATAGTGGCCGGCCGAAGGGCAGACTCTATCCAGAGAATAATGCTCTTCTACCAACAAAACTGTCTTCCACCCAACAAGGTGGAGAGCTGGGACTATATGGTGGGGTCCCAAATCTGCCGGCAGACTTTTCACTCCTGCCCCCCAAAGCCTTGCTAACCCTGCTGAACTTTCTCCAAAGACCCCCTCGGGCTTGCTGCTGCTGCCGTGAAGTTACTGAGAGCAGGGCCCATGCTCGCTTCTCTGTCCTGGTCATGCTTAGAGGATAAGGCACTTTTCGTAACATTGATGCCCCATCAATGCGACCGGCAGCTCTGGGATTGGGGTCCCAGCAGGCCTGTTTAAAACTCCCTCTTCCTGCCAGTGGGCCGCAAGGATTGAGAGCGAGATGTCGCCCATTTGCACCACAAGCAGCCCCCATTCCCCAGCAGAGCAAGTGTACAGGAAGTGGGGGGTCTGGCCGTGCAGTCGCCCACAAGTCCCCCACCTCCCGAGGGGACGCGGGGGTCACCAGGGGGCAAGGGGGGGTCCCGGCTCCCGGGGGTGCAGACTCGGGGCTCTCGGGCCAGTGGTTCCCCAGGCTCCCTCGATTTGCACTGTGACCCCAGGGAGAGGCGCCGGCACTCGCCGGGCGGGGGCGTCCAACGGGACAGGCGGAGCTGGCAGCGGGGTGCGGGTGTCTGGCCTCAGGACAGCGCCGGAAGACCGTCGCCCCGGGCCGCAGAGGACCCGCGCGGTGCAGAGCGGACCCGGCTCCCGGGCCGCGTTTCCTTTTGCAAAAGTGAGCGAGTTGTGAGATCAGCTAACAAAGTGCTGGGCTGCGACCTGCGTGCTGCAGCTGCGAGGAGACAGACGTCCCCCCGCCCGGCCCCAGACCGCCCGGCGTCTGCAGCCCGAGACACCGAGCCGCTCGGAGCGCGCCCGCCAGCCCTCCGCGCACACTGCGCCCGCTGCGGGGGAGGAGGCCGAGCCTGCCAGGCGGCGGAGCAGGCCCGGACAGCCCTGCGCTGCTCTCGTGTTGTTTTAATTTAAAAGAGCAACGAAAAGCAAAACAAAAAAGCAAAAGAGACAAACAACAACAAACCCCAAACAGTAACAATACAGGCTTTCAAAGCAGGTTAATAAATTGAACAGTGGTTGTTATATTGCAAATTGTTATCTTCAAGTGAGTTGCTTAGCCAGAGGTTTAGCGCAGGCACAAACGCCTGCCTGGCAAGCGCGAGGTCAGGAGTTTGATCCCTGGTACAAAAAAAAAAAAAAAAAAAAAGAATTGCTTAGATTACCAGATATAGACATGCAAAAATATTCTGGCCCGAAGACACCGGGATCAGGCCAAGGGATTTGCAGACACTTTGCAGTCAGCCCTGGTAAAAGGGCAGAGGAAGGTGGCAGCCCTGCCACCCGCTCCCTGCTGTTGGGCAGAGCGAAGAAGAATCCCGGGTGCAGACCACAGCTTCAGAGGTGCTGGGTGCGAGTCCACATCTGTCCCCTACACAAACATACGCGCAAGTTTTTCTTTTAGTATCTACTTCCTGTTGGGTTTATTTTATTTTTAAATTCAGCTTTTATTTTGAGGGTAATTATAGATTCACGTGAAATTGTAAGAAATAATACTGAAAGGTCCCCTTTACCCCTTTTGTCCTAGTGATAATGTAATGCAAAACTTGGTATCACAACCAAGAAACACTGGTACTGAGTCCGTTAAAATTCAGAATAATCCCATCCCCACAAGGATTCCCATGTCCATTTAGAGCCAAACCAACTCCTCCTCTACTGCCTCCCAGCTCCTGGCAACCGCAGATCAGATGTCCATTTTTATAATGTTGTGTCTATAAGTCCACACAAGGAAATGATAGAGCATGTAATATTTTGGGACTGGCTTGATTATTTGCTTTTTTTTATTATTATTAACCTCAGTTCCCTGAAGATTCATTGGAGCTGATGCCCCAATACTTTGTTTCTTTTTATTGCTGAGTACTGAGCTATGTTGTACATGTGCCACCGCTGGCTTCTCCACTCACGGCTGGAAGATAGTTGGGTTATTAGATTTTTGTGGACATAAGATTGACTTCTCTGGGATGCATGCTAAAGAATTACAATTATTTGGTCATCTGGTAGTTGCATGGTGAGTTTTACAAGGACCATCAAAAGTAGATGTAACAGTTTACATTCTCACCAGCAATGTACGAGGGACCTCATTTCTCTACCTCTCCAACTGCATTCGAGTACCATCACCAGTTTTTGTTGGGGTCACACTGAGAGACCTACAGTCTCTTTGTGATTTTACTGCACATTTCTCTACTGGCTCATGATGTTGACTGTCCTTTCATGTGTTTGTGTGTCATCTGTAAATTCTCTTTGGTAATATATGTCTTTTGCCTATTTTCTCATTGGATGCTTTATTTTGTAGTGCTGAGTTCTGGAAATTCTTTATGTATTTTGGATACTAGTCCTCATTGGAAATGTGGTGTGCAAATAGTTTGTCCTGGCCTGTAGCTCTTCTTTTCATCTTCTTTACATACAGTTTCACAGAACAAAACATGTTTATTTTATCAAGGTCTAATATACTGTATTAGTTTTTTCTTAACTAGTTCTAAATCCTGAAGTTTGTTTCTGTTTGTGGTTCTTTGAGGCAAGGTCTCACTATGTAGTTCAGGCTGACCTTGAACTCATAGAGCTCCTCCTGCCTCAACCTCTCAAGGGTTGAAGTTACAAGCACGCATACCTGGCTAACTCCTGAAGATTTCACCTATGCTTCCTACATTTTTATAGCACCATTTGCTTAACAGTCTACCTTTGGCTGGTGGATTATTTTTGCCTCTTTGTCAAGAATCAGTAGGACATACTAGTATAGGTCTGTCCCTGTTCTACTCCACTAATCTGTGATGTCCCATGCCATTCTCCTTTGAAATTTGCATTTTTCTTTGACTTCCACACTTAAAAGCAGAGGAGAAATCGGTGTTTTGATTACATATCTGAAAACACCAATTCTCTCTCAAGATATAAGAAAGAATATTCTCTGGAACCATGGAAAGAGCCAATCCTGGGAATGAAAAGATATGAATCTTCATTTCCTCCAGGTTAAATATCATCCTAGTGGGCTGAGGATTTAGCTCAGTAGCATAAGTGCCCGCCTGGCAGGCATGGGGTCATGAGTTCAATCCTCGGTACCAAAAAAAATAAAATAAAATACATGACCCTGGCAGCGACTCATGGCACTCTCTTAGGCCTGGATTTTTCATCTACAAAGTGAAGGGGTTTGAGCTAAATAATCTGAGTTCTTTCCACATTATTCAATCAAAGTGAATTTCCAGTTATAAACACATCGATAAATGTGAATTTTCTGTCCTCTCTTAATATCTCTTTCCAAATAGGAACAGAATTGCAGGACATTTGGATTTTTGTCTCTTTTGAAGGCCCAGAAGAAAGCAGATGGCCTGAGGTCAGACAGCCTGCTCAGCAGCAGGACTAAGGCCAGAAACCAGGTCCTTGAACTCCAGTTCAATGTCCTCCCCAACTCTGTCTGCTGCTCCCAACCCCTGCCTAATAAGAGAAATGGAAGAAAGAGATAAGTGGCAGGCATTCGGCTTGACTTTCCGAACACCCATTAAATAACCACCCCTAAGGGAGGCCCCTGCCTTAAGAAAAGAGAGGTTTTCTGAGCTCTAAGAGTTCATGGCTGCGCCAAGACACAGGACCGTATAAATCGGTAAGAGAGCAATTTAAGGTAGGATATGACTGGAAACTGACTGAGAGTGATGGATAATTAGCTTTTGGCTGTACCAGACTAGGCTGAGTAAGACATTTACTACCTCAAGCAATCAGTCCAGAGGCAGGCAGAGCTCGAGCAATGGCTCCACGCTGTCACCCAGGACTCTCTTTTGCAGCTGTCTACTGATACCCTTGAGGTCGCTTAGTACATGCTACTACTGATAGTATGTGCTGTTTCCTCAGATTTGCGTCCTCATAGTTAATATGACTGCACGGGTGCAGATATCATGTCATTATACTGCCATGTCCCAAATCAGTTCTGAAAAGCAAACACAATAGATTTAGTTCTTACCTGCTTTTTTTTTTCTTTTTTTTAAAGGAGAACTTTTCCCAGAAGTCTTCCTCTCAACTCTTACTGGCCAGAATTTAATCATTTTCTCCTGCTCAGGCTGCAAGGAAAGGCTGAGCTAGATTAATGAGCCTCTGGAATTTTGATCCGTTGTAACAGAGGCTCTGCTAGCACGAGGGAGGGGGGTTCGGGCTAGCGAGGCAGTGAATCAATCTGCTACAACATGGGAAGAAAGTAAAGACCACATGATCACCAGGATTGTCAGGCAAGGTGAAAAGAGACAGCAATTCAGGATTAAACTCTTTTGAGAGCAAGCCATTCCAACCAAAACAGGATGAAGAGGGAGAGCAATAAGCCAGTAGTGGAAATAAAGTGGAATCAAAATATAGTTCAAAAAACAGGAAAGGTGGGGCTGGGGATTTAGCTCAGCGGCATAAGCACCTACCTTGCAAGCAGGCAGTCGTGAGTTTGATCCCCAGTACCGATAAAAAGGAAAAAGACCAAAAAAAAAAAAAAAAAAAAAAGTACAGGAAAGGAAGAAAAAAAAGAAAACAGAACAGATGGGACAGACTCGTGCCACGGCAGACTGCTTGTGATCATCGACATCTCCAAAAGGTTTGCCACCACTGATATAACTCAGTGCAAGAGCTAAAATAATACTTAATGGAAAACATCAAACTCCTTCATGTTAAAGTCCAGATAAAAGAAGGGAAAAAAGAACAGATGGGACCAAAAAAACCAAATACCATATGGTAAAAAGATATACCAGTTAAAGACTAATCATTAATATCAAGATTTTCTTCAGAAGAAGGCGTATTACCAGGAATAAAGGAAGTTAGTTCCTAAAGAGAAAGGAATCAATTCATCAAGAAGATAATAATTCAAAATGTATATGCACCTAACAACAGAACTTCAAAATACATAAAGCAAAAACTGACAACTGGAAGAAGAAATAAGCCAATTGGAAAATGCATAATTTTAGTTGAAGATTTCAAGATTTCTGTCTTACTAATTGAAATAGGCATGTAGAAAATCTGAAAAACACAATCAACTAGACACAAGTGACTTTTTCCTCATCTGCTAGAGATTGAATGCAGAGCCTTCACATACTAGGTAAACATCCTACCACTGCTACACTCGCAACCCAAACTACCCAAAAAATAGGAACTACAAAATACGGATGGCACATTCACCAAGGCGGATCACATTTTGGGCTAAAAAACACTGTTTCAGACTGGGATCTCCAGTATTAGTGTGTGTCTCTTACCATCCTAGGCCTGGCATTTTTTCAGCCAACAGGGATATTCAGACTAAAAAGATATAAAAATTACTGGAAAGAACATTGGCATCAGAAGTTTTCTTAATGATGTTGTACCAACTTCAAATATTCAGGGGACATGTATTGAGAAGCCAAGTGATGACTAAAAACATATTAGCTTTCAAAAAATATTTTTATTCTTTTAAAGTACATAAAAAGATAAAATTCCAAAAGCTGCATTCGAGGCATTTCCAGGAGACTTGTTTTTTAAAGTATTATCTATTTATTGATGTATTGGATATATTACATGTTGTTTTCCAACAGTAGGAAAGTAAAAGCTTCTTTGACCTTTGCTGCATAAGGACTAAATGAGAAACTGACCAGACAGGATAATTTGTCTTTCCATTACTGACATAGGGTTTCATGATGTGCTGGGCAATGAAAGAAATCCTGGCTCTGTGCGGGAGCACAACCAGTTACACGGCTGGACTTCTGATGAAAGCAACTGGGATGAAAAACTCTACCCAGTGTGGAAGAGGGGAGACGCGAGGTGGAAAAGCTCCTGGAAAGGTGAGTCAAAAGACTCAGCCCAAAGGGCTGTCAGTTTTTACTTCATAAGTTTTGTGGATTACAGAGCTCTTTAGGACTCATGGTTCGTGTTATTTTCATGAATGATAGTGCTGTAGCTGCCAAGTGAGGGCTGTGGCAATCTGTCCTGTGCCCCAACATTACACTTTTTAAGTCATAAAATGTTGTTTAATCTTCCAAGGAAGTTCTAAATGCAGAGCCCTTGGAATATTTTGGAGAACAAGAAGTTTAGCCTCAGCCCTATTTAATGAACATGAGAATGGAGAGCTTTGGAAGACCTGTGACACTGAAGTGGCTTTTGATTATTTCAAAAGTGTAGCTGATGCAAGGGCGGGAGGCATTGGCGCCTGTCATTCCACTACCCAGGAGGCCGAGGCAGGAGACTTGCAATTCAGTAAGCCCCGTCTCAAAATGAAATTTTAAAAAAGCTAGAGATGTAGTTCAGTGGTGCAGCATTTACCCAGCATGCACAAGGTCCCGGGTTCAATCCTCAGCACTGAAAAAATACATGCTTTACCAGAAAGTCTCTTAGATATCTTTCCATAAAGAAATAAATGAATTCTTTAGCCATTGTGCTTTAAGATTTAAAAATACAAACTTTTAACATTGTCTTCTCAACCCAGTTGAACAGAGTTTTTAAAAATATTTCAAGTAAAAGGTCCTTTTTGTGGTTAGAGAATTCTTTAGTCTGACTTTTTTCTTTTCTTGTTCATCCTCTAGAATCTTGTACTCTGAAAGATTAGGAATCTAGAAAATAAAGTGTATCATAATGAGGCATTGTAATAGGTTTAACTTTACTTTAAATGTATATTAGTGTGTGAAAGGAAAAAGACACAGTGGTTCAGTGAGCTCCACTTTTTGTCCCCCAGGAGGCCGTGTGCAAGCGGTCCTGACCAGCAGTTCCCCGGCGCTGGTGGGCTCAAACATCACATTTGCAGTGAACCTCGTGTTCCCCAGATGCCAAAAGGAAGATGCCAACGGCAACATAGTCTATGAGAAGAGCTGCAGAAATGGTAAGGACTCAGGGGTTTCCCTAAACTGCCGACAACCTGTCTCCTCAGCCTTCCTGCTTATAGGTGCTTCTGTAAGTACAAAATGCTGCAGTGGTCCCTTTGCTCTGCTCCTGAAGATGGGGACAAGGATGGGGAGTGCGTGGTCCCACCCAGCCCCCTCATCACCAGCATCAGCCACATCTGCTTCCCTGTCTTTTAGAAGCAACACTGTCACGGCTCTTCCTGACTGCCTCGTTCCCTGGACAGAGAATACCTTGTTGATTCTCAGGTTTATATTTTATTAAAATCAAAAGGTGTTTTGGCCTGTTCAGAGAACAGCCAACTTAAACTGAGTGTGGTGGCACACATCTGTAATCTTAGCTATTCAGGAGACTGAGGCAAGAGAATCTCAAACTGGAGCCCAGCTTAGGCAATTTAGGGAGAACTTGCCTCAATTCATAAAGTTGGGAGGACCTGTGGCTTAGCGGCAGAGCACCCCTTAGTTTAATCCCTAATATTACAAAAAAAAATTCCCAATTTGACAAATGTTTGCTGGCCAATTTAATTTTCTGCTAGTCAGCACTGAGCAAATGCTATGTGGTTGACATAAATGGTAGGATGTGTGAATTTTGGTTTTCCTTTGCTCTTGAAGAGATAAGTTCTTTTTATGTTCATTTAAAAAGCACAGCTATAGCAAAGAAATTATTGTCATAGTTGTACAGGCCATAAAACAGCTATTTACTGATTCTTCAGTGACAGAGATATTCCCTCCACTTATGAACCCGTGATTTGGAACTTTTATTAAATTGTTGATGTGCTTCTTTCTTACTCATATTTTTGTTCCCTGAGAGGAAAACATTAAATTCTGTCTAGAAAGCATGTTTAATATTCAAAAGGTTAAACATGTAATATTTTGTAACATTTCCCCTTCTTTATTTCCCCCTTTTGACAAAGCTGATTCTTGCAAAGTTCTTAAATAACCGTCTAACCCTCTGAGCACTTGTATGTGAAATAACCCATCTTATAAAAAATTTTTATAAAACACCTATATCACTAAGGAAGGTAAAGGAAAGGGGGTGAAAAAGGATGTGACAGGTACATGTACTAATTCCCCACAAGGAATATAAGTTATATTCTGCAAATGTGTACTAATAAGAATAAAAATAAAATTTTCAAAATCTGTCATCACTGAAAAAAACAAAACCTTAAAACCAAGCATATTGGCACATGCCTATAATCCCAGCGCTTGGAAAGCTGAGCAGGAGGATTGCTCTGAGTTCAAAGCCATTCTGGGCTATGTAGTAAGTTCAAGGCCAGCCTGAACTTCATAGTGAAACTCTGTCTCAAAAAACAAAAACAACACAAGTTTTCTGAAGAAATGACTGACTCCAGGTCTAGGGCAAACAAGTATCAGGTAAGCCTGAGACTTCTTAATATGCTAAAAAACAAGAAAAATTTCAAAGACTAGTAGTGTTATGTCAGAAGGACACCAGGGCCAGCTTGAAGGGGCTTCTATCAACCATATTTGGGACAAGTTGAGTAGAAAAAGGAGTAACAACTAATAGGTTGGTAAACAGAAAGGCTCTTCAAAAATATCAGTGATATCCCCGTATTAAGGAAAGCTGAGGAGGATCACAGGAGGATCACACTGAAGTCCCACTTGGGCAACTTAGTGAGACCCTGTCTCAAAAATACAAAAATTTTTTAAAATAAAAAATTCTTAAAAATTAGTAAGAGAAGAGAGGATGAGGATGTAGCTTAGTACAAAGGCTTTGGGCTCAATCCCTAATATTAAAAGAAAACATTCAGTGGTATAAAAAAATAAAAGGATTGGGCTGGGGATTTAGCTCAGTGGCATAGGCCCCTGCCTTGAAAGCAGGCAGTTGTGAGTTTGATCCCCGGTACCGATAAAAAGGAAAAAGATCAAAAAATAAAAGGATAAAGGGACTTTATGAAGTATCTGGATGATGGCCCAAAGCAGGAATGCCGTACATGGGGAAAGCTTGAAAGCAGGGTGAACTGCATGCACAGACATTCTCCATCCAGATGCAACAATTTTAACACTTTGCTGTATTTGCTTATGTCTCTAGCCTAATATTTCTCTATCATATAGACCTGTGTCCATAATGATCTATACATGGAGGGAGAGAGGGAGGGTGATTTGCTCTAACTTAAAAGACACAAACAGCACATACAATAGGAATAGAGGCGCAGGGCAGACTTCACGGGACTGTGTAGAGGTGGTTCCACTGTGTGTCTATGTGGGATGCCCTTTATTTTCAGGGGATCTTTGTGCTGACAAAGAGAGAAAAAGAACCCTAGCCTGAGCGCCCTGGGGCAGCCTGCAGTCTGGTTAGAAAGGAGTCTGCACTGGGAGGCCCAGGTGGAAGATGAATGCATTAAGTGAAAGCTGCAGGTGAAAATGCCTGAAAATCTCTTGCTATAATACTCTCATTGAAGTACAGCATAATATGCCAGAAAGTGTGCACCCCAGCAGCACACCACCGGGTGAATTCTGAGCGTTAGATTTTTAGCCCTGTACCAACTTTGAAACCAGTGATGAGAAACGGGGGCTGGGGGACCCCCATGACGGTGGTGCCTCCTTTCTTTCTCCCCTTAGACTCCAGTTTGTCTCCTGAGCTGTACGTTTACAACTGGGCGGCGGCCTGGCCCGAGGACAGCGAAGGGGGCGCCGGGCACCACGTGTTCCCCGACGGCAAGCCGTTCCCCAGGCCCCACGGCTGGAGGAAGTGGAATTTCGTCTATGTCTTTCACACGCTTGGTTCGACTTTTATTTTATTTTATTTGTATTTATTTGGCTGGGGGTGGGGTGGGAGGCGTGCCAGAAATTGAACTCAGGACCTCATGCTTGACGGGCATTTACCTTTCTTTGGACTTTAACTTCCTCTTTTCTTATCCTGTAATTGGAATCTAACAGCCACAATTCAGTTTACTGGACATCGAAAGAGCAAAATGAAAGCCTGGTTAACTGTCAGATCTCTAGGACACCAAAGAATTAATTTCAAAAGAAATAATTACAGGTTCTTTTAGAAAACAAACAAAAACACAAAAAACCCAACTACTGAATTTTGTCTATAAAATAGCACTCTGAAGACATTTATTTGGATGGCACATGGACAGTCATTTACTCTTTATTTTTGAATATTCTTAAAGGAATAAAGAAATGTGTGCTCTGTAGGAAATTTGAAAAATGCAGAAAAGCACAAATAAAAAATAAAAAGCATTCACACTTAACAGCAGAGGTGATCACCATTAACAATAGTGTTCAACACTATTGTTTCTTTCTTTTTTTTTTTTCTTTTTTTTTTATCGGTACCGGGGATCGAACTCATGACAGCACACTTGTAAGGAAGGCCTTTATGCCGCTGAGCTAAATTCCCAGCCCCAGCACTAATGTTTCTTGATGACAGTCATAATGTACTTTTTGCTCAGTGTCATGAGCTCTTGACCATATCATCAAAAATTGTACATTAGTTTAATGGTTGTATAATATAGTATTTCACTGTATAAAAATAAAATAAGTACTCTTCTTTGACATACCCTGTCTCTTTTCAAACTATAAATGGTATTTACTTTATTATTGATGAAGTGGTTGTTTTAGAAGAAGCAAATTTGGGTTATTGTCAGCAAGGCTACTAAATTCTTATTTTAAAATGTTGCCAGGGCCACCTGGTACCAGTGTTTGAAATCTACCATCTGATCAGTCTCCAGATTTCTAAGTCATAAATTACAGTGAGCTTCTTTTTCCTCAGTGAGCTTACATACACATCAAAATATTAATAGTACTCACTGACCAAAGTACAAAATATGTCAAATATGACACCCATCTGTTTAAATCAGTTTCTTTAAGGCTGACTTGTGCCCTGGAAGTCACTTTACCAAACAGGATTGCCCTGCCCTGTCCCTCCCACGGCAGTCCTGACAGTTCCCAGGGACTCGTTCATTGCCACACCTGAGTTTTTTTTTTTTAGCTTAGTTAACATTGTAGTAACCTAACCAGATCAGGTGTCTTTAGTTAAAAATCAGCCTTCACGGGCAAAGGATATAGCTCAGCAGAGTTTGATTCCCAGCACTATAATTAATAATAATAATAATAATATCAGCCTTTAGCCTAGAAATTGCCCTGTTTTCCTAATGAGGTTGCCTTGGGAGTCCATCTTCTGCCCTGATCTCAGAGTTAAGTGGTTAAATGATGTTCTGCCTCCACTAAGTGTGGCTTCGTCTCTCAGCCCTGGGGCTAACATGCGCTACCCAGAGAGACCCAGCAGAGTCCAGCAGCCTCCACAGGACTATCCTTGTATCTCAAGGTGAAGGGCCAATCCACATCACAGCCCCAGCCCAAGACCAGGGTGTTTTTCTCACCTGTTCAACTGTGCAATAAACGTTTAAACATCCTGGTCTCAAGCATGCATCTCGTAAAACCCAAACAGTCAGTGACAGGCTGTCGGGCACCTTGATGGGAATAGAAAAGTCCTGGAGCCCTGGAAGAGAACTGTTTTCACCTGCCAGCCTGTGGCAATTTGTGAAAAGATTGGAGAAAGAAAAGGGAGAAACAGCTCAAAGTCATCCTAGAATGTGTTTGTGGAACCACTCCATTTCCTTTTGTATCTGTCGTACCCTATTTCTCTTTCATTGCTATCTGTATTTCAATACACAAAATACTGTCAGAAGGTGGAGGGTTCCAATCCTTTTAAAGAAATCTGCTCCATTGTAAAGCAATCATAGTGTAGTCATATTGTTACAAAAGTAAGGTGAATTTTTGGATAATTTTTAATTCCCTTGGGTATTACATTAAATGTATTTTCTATTAGAAAATCTGTGCTTCAAATACCAAATCACTTAACTTATATGAAATATTTATTTGTAAACTAAGGACTAAATGTATTATCACAATAAGTAGCTATTTTATATTAACCACCTATATGCAATTATATAACTGTGTATCTGCGTTATAAAGTTTGACATAAAAATCAGCACTGTTTCCCTTTCTCCTCTCTGAAACACCACTATATTCCCCTACTGTCTTCCCTCCTCAGAGCAATCTATAAATTGTTGCTAGTCTTTAAGAACACATCTTTCATGATCACACCATGTTGCTAATACCTAAAACTCTCCACCCTCTCACAGGTCAGTATTTCTACAAACTGGGACGGTGTTCAGTGATGACTTCTATCAACACAGCCAACCTGACACTGGGCCCTCAGGTCATGGAGGTGACGGTCTACAGAAGACACGGCCGGGCCTACATTCCCATCGCACAAGTTAGAGATGTGTATGTGGTAACAGGTGCGTGGTACATGCTCTGAGTTACCGGGGGACAAAGCATTTCATTCTGTTAACCTTAGCAGCTAAGAGTGAGAGCCAAGTGTTCTGGGTTACATTATGAATCATTTGGACCCTGGCCCAAGCTCTTACATTTAACTGTGTTGTATCCCATATACTTTCGACTATAGCTCATGGAAATTCTAGAAAACATGCATATAAAAGGAAGTTAGCTTGATGCTGAGTTATCCCTGATATTACTTTTTTAACCTCAAAGAATTAACGTTGCTCTTTGATCAAAATGAAGCATTCTTTTACTTTTTTTCCCCCTCTTTTTGGTGTGTCTCTTTAGATCAGATTCCTGTATTTGTGACCATGTCCCAGAAAAATGATCGAAATGTGTCTGATGAAACGTTCCTCAGAGATCTCCCCATTATATTTGACGTCCTGATTCATGATCCCAACCACTTCCTCAATCAGTCTTCCATTTACTACAAGTGGAACTTTGGGGATAACACCGGCCTGTTTGTTTCCAACAATCACACCTTGAATCACACCTATGTGCTCAATGGAACCTTCAACCTTAACCTCACTGTGCAGGCTTCGGTGCCTGGACCCTGTCCATCACCTTCCACACTTCCGAAACCTACCCCTTCTTCTGGTGAGTATTCTGCGGTGTCTTTGAGGGAGATTCCTTAATGACTAACATATATCCATGCAGGTCAGTGGTGGCAAACCTAGGGCATGCATGCTGTTTGTTATCATTGAAAGATTCACTGTCACTGATGTAGGTTACATACTTTTTACTTGTTTATTTATTTAGCAGTACTAGGGCTGGCACCTTCCACATGCTAAGCACTCTACCTCTCAGCTGTACCCCGAGCCTCCTAGCAGGAACATGATAGTGTAACTTAGGCTTGGGGATGTGTGTCAGTGATATAGCACTTGCCAACTGTGTTTAAAGCTCTGGCTTCCATTGCCAGCACCAATAAATAAATGCATACACACATAAGTAAATGCCTGCTTAAAAGAATTCTGTAGAGACTCTATAATGATTCCAGTTTATACCTGTTGATATCTTTTTTGTGTGTGGTACTGGGGATCAAACGAACTCACAACCTCGAGCTTGCCAGACAGGCTCATATGCCGCTGAGCTAAATCCCCAGCCCACCTATTGAGTTCTTAAAAGCTCTTTATTGAGGTTTTAAGCCTTTAGAACAAGAAAGGAAGGAGTGTGTGTTTAAAATCACTTGGCCAGTAGAATTTGGTGACCTATACAAATGTGTCCTTGATCCTCCCAAACTGCACCTGCTCTTGCTATGTGTGTACGTTGCCTGGCAGCTCCAAGCTGGTTACGTTTCCACTTCTAGTTTTCATGGCCTGCTCCTTAGGAAGCATCAGTCCTCCACTTCTCTCTCAGCCCTCCCCCACATCGTCCTCCTTCCCTACCTTGCCCACTCCCATCAGTGTCCCATGAAAACCCAGCCATACTGTAAAGTGCTTCTAAGTGGCCCAAGAAGAGGTGCCACTGGGAAGTATCTCCGAACAAGCAAGCCAGAGCGTCTCCAGCCATTAAAACTGCTGCTCAGGGCTGAGCAATGCCTGATCAAATACCAACCTCTGTAAATAGTCTGTGAGGACATTCCAGACGTTCCTAAGTGCCTACTTTCCGCAGCCTGGGCTTCCATCAAATTCCCCACCCCGCCCAGGCCATGCCCACCTTTCTCCACTGGGAGGTCTGCACTTCGCAGCCCCCACGCTGACATCCTCTCACTGGTCACAAGAGGGCGCCATGACCGAGCTCCGAAGAAACCTGGTCACCAAGTCTAAATTTGTAGCTCTTTTTACCAACACCTGTTAGCTATAAATAAAATAAACTGTTAGAAGTGTTAGGGATTAAATGACATCTTGTTAAAGGATACATAAACGTAGACATTATACGTTATTATTACTGATTGTGATTTTTGTTTTCTTTTGGAAGTTTTGTTTTTTGTTTTGCTGTTTTGTTGTTTCTTTCTTTTTCTTTTTCTTTTCTTTTCTTTCTTTTTTTTTTTTTTTTTTTTTTGGTCTTTTTGAGACAGTGTTTCACTATGCAATTCAGGCTGGTCTTGACCTCACTTCGTAGCCTAGGCTGGCATCAAACTTGCAGCAATCCTCCTGCCTCAGCCTCCTGAGTGCTGGTATTACAGGCGTGTGCCACCATGCCGGCTCATTTTGGGGGGAAAATGTTTTAAATTACAATATTTATGCATGTTCTCTAGTAAAAGGCCAAACAAGAGAGAAGTCTAGAGTAAAAGTCTCTAAGTCCCAATGAGAGGGATGTTCTTTAGTCATTCAGTCATACTTTGACCTTATAGATACAATATCTGCAAAATTCTTTGTGCATTTTTATAAGTATTCTATCTAATATAAAATTACTAACCTCTATTATTTGGTCATTTAGAAAAAAGTTCTATTTAAAATTGGACAAGGTTGTGAGGTAATGATTCTGGGCTCTGATAGCTCCATTCTGTCTGTCAAGAATCTCCACTGGGGCAACTCACTTTCCAGGTCCCCTCCTGTCTCTCCCTCAATAAAATGTCTTACTCTTTAAAAAAAAAAAAAAAAAACAACACTTCACCTGAAGGGATTTTGTGATTTTCTAAGGGAAAGCTAGTGATCTAAGTGCTGTGTTAGCCAGCTTCCTCACAATGCCCACTGCCCCAAACTTAAATCAGAAGAGGTGCATTCTGACTTGTGGCTTCAGAGGCTCTGTGCATCGCTGGCTGGTTAGGAGGCCATGGCGGAGGAAAGCTGCTCCACCCAGGGCAGCCAGGAAGCAGAGAGAAAGAGAAAGAGAAAGAGAAAGAAGGAGGCTGGAACAAGAATGCACCCTTCCGTGTCCTTCCAGCCTGGCCCAACTCCCAACAGCACATTCAGCTCACTAGATTAACCCACTAGGGGTCCCTGATGCTCAGGCCGTGGACCAGGACTGTGGCCCGTTAGGAAAGAGGGCTCACAGCAGACGAGTGGATGTTTGAGTTTCCCTCTGTATTTACAGCCACTCCCCAATGTTCACATTACCGTCTGCCTCCTCTCAGATCTGCAGCAGTATTCGATTCTCACAGGAGTTTGAACCCTGCTATAAAGTGCACATATGAGGGATCTAGTGGGAGCCCTTTTTTGAGAATATAATGCAACAATAATAGAAATAAAGTACACAATAAGTGTACTGTGCTTGACTCATTCCAAACCTTTCCCTCCATCGTCCACAAAACTGGTCCCCAATCTCCCAAATAAGTGTATGGTGAAGGCTTAAATAAATGAGATAAGTGGTATGATTTTAGGGCTCCAGAAGGATCAAAACCCCCTACAGAGTTCCGAGTCTGTGGTGGCTAAGACAGGGAATGTCTCTGGGCAGTGTGGATTATTTTTTTTTTTTCAAACAACACAGGAAACTGAACAGACTTAGGAGTGGTTCAAAGACTTTTCAAGTAACAAATTACCTTAACAAGGAGAAGTGTCTTAGGAGAAGATTTCCATGCTGCACTTCACTGCAGGGTGAAATGCCTGCGCTACAGTCTTTAGTTAATTGGAATTAGAGCCAGCTGTCCTCAGCCGCTATCTTATCTTGCTCCAGGCCAGGCAGCAACCTTGCACATGTGTTCAATTTCCAGTTTCAACAGTTGGGGACCACTGGTAACTGTATTAACCCCGTGATCCAATCACCTTCCAAAAGTCCCATGAACACATGAGACTTTAAGGGACATTGTAGATCTAAACCATAACAAATGGTCTGTACAAACAAACCTGTTGCGACAGAGCACATCAGCTGAGTACTGGGACAGGCTGAGTGAACATCCCGTGAACACTCCCAAAGAATCAGTGTGAAACTAAGGGGCCATCCCAAGAACTGCCACAGCCTGTCCTGCTAATAAACCATGAACTGAGTCCAGTGCTCTGCTAGGACCTTTCTGGACTCCTCCAGCAGCATTTCCCACTGTGCCGAGGAGCTCCAGAAATGTTCTGAGGACTGCTCTGAGAAGTCCCCACCCAGCACAGGAAAGTCCCAGGACATGTTACCTTCAAAGGCTCATGTCACAAAGTTAGAAAGAAAGCTCTTTTGAAGCTTTGATACTCTTCCCCAAGACTGGTCCATTTCAGTGCCTTTAGAAACAAGGTCATATTTTTAGTATCATGTTTTCTTTCATCTTTTCATCTTGTTAAAGTAGTACCAACATCTTTTAAAATGTAACCAGTAAAGCACTAGAATTTTTTCTCTAATTATACTCAAGACTTACTATTGATGTCTTATATTCCTTCTTTTTGGGGGTTTGGGAGGGGTACCAGGAATCCAACTCAGGACCTCATGCTTGCCAGGCAAGCCCAGCACCACTGAGGCAAATCCCTGGCCCCTCTTGTCTCTTTTCCTCACATCTCTGTTCGTCATAGTAAGGTTCTTGGAATGTAAGCTTTGGACCTATGAGCCATTGAAACAGAAAAATAATCACCTTTTTCTATATTCTCAGAACAATGAAACATGTTTATTAAGTACTTCCTATGTGGCAGCCATAGGAAAAGCAGGTTCTACGTACCTTCTCTGGTGGCTCAAGGCTGGGTGGCAGGCAGGAGTGTTCTTGTTTTATAGATGAGCAGACAGAAGCAAAGGTAGGTTAAATAACGTGCCTGTGGCCTCAAACAGCTAAAAACAAGTGGAGCTGGAATTTAAGCCTGGAACGCTTGCCTCCTAAATTAAATATGGCTTTGTCTATTACGGTCTGTTTTATTTCATCATAAGCATCATGTCACATTTTAGTTACGGCTTCACCTTTTCATTTGCTTCCTGTATTTAAACAAAATTTGGGATTATGTTTGGAATTGAGGTGTAGCTCAGAGGCAGAGCACTTGCCTGGCATGGGCAAAACTTCAATCCAAGCACCTCAAAAAAAAAAAAAAGAGAGTTATATTTACTTATATAATTTAACAGTTGTTATAGCACTTATATTTCTCATAGCAGTCCCACCTCTATGAATCTTTGCACATTTACTTCAGATTTCTTCGTGGCCAGGTGTGGTGCTGTATGCCTGTAATCCCAGCACTCAGGAGGCTGAGGCAGGAGGATCATTGTGAGTCTGAGGCCAGCTTCAACTACACAGCAAGACCTGTCTCAAAAATAAAACAGAACAGGACAAAAAATTCCTGTGTGGATTTAATAGTATAGAATTCTTGATGTTTTTCTAAGAAGATAGATGTTTAGATTTCTGGTTATTCTGTTTTATTCTTAGTAACTATTTTTAAAACATCTTATAATATATACACTCCAGTACCTGTTGGTGACAACGCCACGGAGCTGCGTGAGATTCCTGATGAAGACTGCCAGATTAACAGATACGGTTACTTTGAAGCCACCCTCAAGATTGTAGGTAAGAAGGGAAGGGAGGGAGTCAGCTGAGGTCACCCACCCACTTGCTAACTCTAGAACAGCGGAGGGGCAGGGGTGCTTCATTTCCTGTCACATGTGGCTTCATGCACAGGCAAAGGCTTCTCTCGTTCCCAAGTTTCTGGCTACTCACACATCCTGGCAGACAGCAACCTTCCTTGAGGCCCCCATACTGCCCGCGATGGGGCCTGGATCCCTCCTGAGGGTCCTGATTTTGTTATGGAGAGTATGAATGAAGGCCAGGATGGGTTCCCCATTTCCCTCAGTTAATTTTCACAAAGTCATTCTTTTATTTGTAAAACAGAAATGAACAGGCCGCCACACATGGCCATGCATTTTGAACGCTGCCCCAAGGTCATCCAGTAGAGAAGACAAGAGGGGACCAAAGCCTAGCCTGAGTCCAGCCACCTCTGCTTAGGAGGAGCTGGCCACTCACTGACCTGGGGCTGTCTCTGCCCAGAGGGGCTGCTGCTTTCTAAGTCACACAGAGACTCTGGGTTGGGCCAAACAGTTGTTCAGCGTGACTCTGAAAATGTGACGTGGACAGGCATTCACAGAGATGAAATAGGTTCCCAGATTAGCTGTGTTTCTGTTTGAATGAGGCTGTCTCCATTTGCGGGACCTGGGTTCTGACTCATTAAGAAAGGTGCCTGTGTTCATTCTGGCTTCCATAATAGAATACCACAGGCTAGGTGATCTAGAAACTACTGGAGTTCTCTTGCAGTTCTAGTTTGGAAGCTTAAGATCTAGACACCAGCAGATTTGGGTCTGCTGAGGCCCTGCTTCTGGGGTTATGAATGGCCATCTTCACACTGTGTCCTCACATGGCAGAAGAGACAAGGCAGCTTTCTGGGGTCTCTGTAAGGCATTAATCCTATCCTCCACCAGCAGACCTGCCCCTAATACCATCTAACAGCATCTCAGCCTGCCAAATGGAGAAGACACAACATTCGGTGTACAGCACAGTGGCCTGGTTTTGTTTCTGTTGTGCTTTGATGGTTTTCCATGGTGATTATTTTGTTAGAGGGAATCCTGGAGATTAACATCATCCAGATAGCAGATGTCCCAAGGCCTGTGCTGCAGCCTGAAAACTCCCTGATGGACTTCACTGTGACCTGCGAGGGGACGTAAGTACATTGCCCCCCTCAGAGAGTTGGGTCAAATGAGTACCCTCGGTTTGAACAAAGGCCTTGATCACCTGTTGTCCCTTCTATGTTGATATAAATTCCATCATTACATTTTAGAAGCCCCAGATGAAAGAGGCCTTACAAAGGGCCATACAAAGGCATTACCAATTTTATGCATACATATTTTATTAGCACTGAGAATGTTCATTGCCTGTGTCTATTGATTAACTTGAATAGTAATTATGTGCAACAATCAAATGCTTATTGTGTCCTTAGGACCTTATATCTTATGTTGAATCCTCACAGTAACCCATGAACCTCCCCATCTCATAGATGAAGCAAAGGAAGCCCCCAGTGATCACAGAGTTTGCCCACAGCCAGATGCTGGTAGGTGGCAGAGAGGGTGGCTTATAGATCAGGGTCTGGCTCAGAGCTGGCTTTTCTGCTCCTTGAGACTCCTCTGGTGGGCAGAAAGCCAACATGGAATTATTGTATGATAATCCTCTCTATAATTCATGGTGCTTTTTATAAACATAATTTGATGGCCCTTGATATGGTCAGGACTGTATACAATAAACTAAATATAAAAATCGGTAGACAAATATTGCCAGGTGTGGTGGTACATGCCTGTAATCCCACCACTCAGGAGGATCACCATGACTTCGATGCCACCCTAGGATACATAGTGAGTTCAAGGCCAGGATAAACTATCTAGTGAGACCATGTCTCAAAAAATAAATAAATAAATAACAAAGATTACATCAGTTAATTATATACTGGCAAATCAACTAATGGACATGTCTCTAACTTAACTAATAAAATATATGTTTAAACATAGCAAATAATCAAGGGAATGGGCTGGTATAAAAATGGGGCCTTATTTGGTGAAAGGGAATGACTAAGACACTCTCTTGTTGGGGAAATCGGCAGATAGAGCTGATGTGTGACCCTGGCCTAGATATTTCCCGTCCCTGAGCTAGGCTGTCAGCAGTTACACCAGGATAATATTGCTTTCTTCATGAGGCCGTGAGAGGAACAACCAGACCACGGCCTATGCCTGAATGGGGGCCTTGCCTGGAGCAAACCCTGCGATCCAGCTGTGCTCTGCTGCCAGCCCTTGGCGGGGGCCCAGGCAGGGCCAACTGCAAGAGCAAATAATGTCGTTGCCCAACACTTAAGCCCCTGCATCTCAGGCCGTTCCAGAGGGCCCAGAATGCAGGGGAGGTAGCCTGGGCTTCACCCAGTTTCTGCCAGCCCCTCACCTTGGGAGACTCACCTCTTCCCCTTCACCCTCTGACCTCACCTTCCTGAGGATGCAGAGATAACAGCAGCCCATCTGCAGGTGTACTTCAAAGCCAATCACACACTACAGTTTAACATCTATGATTTGATAAGGATACGTGGAGTCTGATTTTAAAGAAATGCGATGGTTTTTCTTTTTTCAAAACTGCATTGCATGCCTCTGTCCCTCTGTATGATCTGTGTGCCTTCTCCCGCCCTGCCATGTCACAGCATCCCCAGGGAAGTCTGTACCGTCATCTCTGACCCCACCTGCCAATTTGCGCAGGACGTGGTCTGCAACAGTGTGGATGCGAACGACGCATGCGTGCTGACCGTGAGAAGAGCCTTCCGACGGGCCGGGAGGTACTGTGTGAACTTTACTCTGGGTGATGATGCAAGTCTGGCCTTCACCAGCACTCTAGTCTCCATCACTAGCAAAGGTGAGTTTTATTTTATGACCCTAAGAGTACTTTATTTTGCAGGTAAAGCGTGTGCCCAATATTAAAGCCATCGATGGCTTTGTCATCAATGCTTAATTTGCAATATTTCAGTGCAAAACTCATCATACTCTTGTTAATAAAAATTAAAGAACTGGTATTAAAATCTAGCAGCAAATCTACTTGGGAAGTGATGAGAGAGAGTCAGAAAAATAGTGGTCAAAGAAAAATCTTTTGATGAAAAAAAAATCACTTATGATCATGGGCCAGTAACAATGGGATACAATCACTGCATGCTTGAATAGATTTGTATTTCAAAAGGAAGATGTAGGACTCCATGTCAAATAATAGCAATGACATGATGACAAAGGAGAGGCTGAGATCTGGTTTTCATGGGTCCTGAGCTCCAGTAACCTTAAATGGATCTCAGAACCAACTTTCTCTTAAGACTCCTTTATGTCTTAGAAGTGCTGTGCGGTGGAATACAAGGGAAAGATTAAAACTGTGTACACATTACACTAATTTTGTCCTATAATTTGTATATTATCAAGTACGACCTAATGGCCATTTCACTTACAACTCCTTTGGACTTATAAGATAAAATGTACTTATATATTTATTCATTAATCATATGAAGGGCAAATTTAACCCCACTAAAAGAAAAATCTAATATAGTAATAGGTCCCTTGACGACAGGGAAATGTTCTGAGAAACTTGTCATGGTGTGGATGTTGTAGAGTGTACTTGCCCAGACCTAGATGGTCTAGCTCAAGTGTTCCATGTGGCACATGCCCGTAGTCCCAGCTACTCTGGGGGCTGAGGCAGGGTATCCCAAGTTTGAGACCATCTGGGTAACTTAGCAAGACCCTGTCTCAAACAAAATTTGTAAAAAGGGCTAAAAATGTAGCTCAGCACTAGAGCATTTATCTAGCAAGTTCAAGACCGTGGGTTAAATCCCTAACACTGAAAGAGAGAGAGAAAGGGAGGAGGTGAGGAGGGGGAAAGAGGAAGGGGAAGAGAGAGGGAGTCCATGGATATTTAACCGAAATTATTCTTATTTATTGATCCAGTGAATATCATCTACTGCATGCCCAATGCAATTCTATGCATGAGATACAATTCTAGGTAAAGTGAGGAACAAGACAAAGAAGATGCTTGGCTTTCTGAGCAGTGAGAGATATTAAAAGAAAAATGTAAAGCAAACTAAAGTTAACAGAGGTTTAGGGGTGTGCGTGTGTATGTGTGGTACTGGAATTGAACCCAGGGCCTTTACAATAAGCTATAGCCCTAGCTTTTTAAAAATGCTTTAAAATTCTATTTGTTTGTTTACTTATTTGAGACAGTGTCTTATCTCATTAAGTTATTAAGTTTCCCAGCTGGGCTGAAACATTCAGTCCTCCTGCCTCAGGATTACAAGCATGAACCACAACGTCCAGCAGACAGTTTATTTAGGCACCAAACTGAGCTTCACTGTTGAGCGGTGAGCTCTCATGCGCTGCCCAGGATGCTGAATAGTGAAATCTCTCGAAGGGCTGCAGCCAATCAGCTGCCTGTGACTGACTACAAAATAATCTCTTAAATTAGGTTTCAATTTGCTTAACTATTAAGATGCACTTTTTTAGGTAGGAATTCAGAATACTTAAATAGCCTTGGGCCACCAGCCTCCTACTTCAGTTTAACACAAACCGTAAACCAACAAGATAGAATTGTGAAAAAAATAAATGCAGGTCAGCAGTGGAGAGGGGCAAGCACGGAAGAGGGAGAGGTGGAGGCCAGCGTCAGCTCTTTGACTGGGGAAGAACTGGCCACTCAGTGGTCCCTCTTAGTGAAGGGCTCCTGTGAGCTGAGACCTGCATTGCCAAAGGAAGGCCCACCTAGATCCTCAGGCCTGGGCTTCTTTCTGTGCGAGCCGGGGAGCCGGGGAGCCTCTGGCTGGTTAGAAGTGGGATCTGGTTGATGCTTTCAGAAGATTGTTCCAACTGCTCGGTGGAGCGAAGGTTGCAGGGAGGGAAGAGGGAACTCAAGTAAACAGTGAAGAGGGCCCTGGCCACGGGTAGCAGAGGACACGAATAAAAGTAGATAAGCTGCTGTACTTTGGGGAAGAGACAGCCAGACTGATTTGCTGGGTTGCAGGAGAAGAGAGAAAGCAATCTGAGGCTTTCACTGTCTACTAGGAGAGAAATACATGTAAAGAAATAATGGTGGCCAGGTGCGGTGGCACACACCTGCAATCCCAGGGACTTGAGAGACGGGGTGTGCATATTACAAGCTCTCAGCCGGCCTGCAAGACCCGATTCAAAATAAAATTTTAAAGACATTCTAATAGGGGATGGAGATAACTCAGTGGTGGAGCACTTGCCTGGCATGTGTGGCCCTGGGGTCAATCCCCAGGACCACACAAAGAAAGATAGATGAGAAAAGGAAAGAGAGAAAGAGAAAAAAGAAAGCAAGCAGGAAGGCAGGCACCACAACTGATCTAGGCACAGAGACAAAGTAAGGTAACAAAGGAGAACACGACCTGGCGACCTCTCAGGAAACCTGGGAAGCCGTCATGGAAGGGGGACCTGACACGACCCAGAGGCAGGCACTCCAGCGGGGACGTGGGGGTTTGAAAGCATGTAGGGAATAAGGCTGACTCCTAGATTTTCAGCACAGTGAGAAGGCAGGAAGTGAGAGGCGAGGCTGAGCTCCACACCGTGGATCACAGAAGCCCAGCACCACCTGAGTTCTGCTGGGTCAGCCGAGACCCACGCAGGTGTCTAGGCTGTGACATCCCTCTCCTTGATCCCTTGACACAGTGTCCCAGACATGCTGACTCATTTTCTAAATGGAAGATAAACTGACCCAGAGATTATGTATTATTTAATGGAAATGATTAGTGAAAGCCCCGAGGGAGCCTTCCGTCTTCTGACAGCTCCTTCTCTCATTTATGCAACGGCATCACAAGCAGTGTCCTCTGTGACTCACGCGGCCTTGTTTCTGTTGAAGATGCAGCCTCCCCTTTCCGGACGGTGAGTGCCGCCCTCATCTCCGGCAGCTGCCTGGCCATCCTTGTCATCGTGATCACCGTCTTGGTGTACAGGTGAGTTTCCAGTTATAATGCTTTCAACCTCCTTCATATGCTGTCAAAAGTTAAATAGCATAGTTCTGGGCAAATGTACCATTTTCCTGTTTGTTTCTTTAAAACATTCTGTGTCTGGGAAGAAAATCTTCCACTGAACCATGGATACCAAATTAGCCTGTTAATTTTGCTGGAGTTTTTTTAATCCTAAAATTGCTACCAGATGTTAGTAGCTTTACAAAATCATGTCTACTTAGTATTTAACATATAATCTTAAATCATAGAGAGCAGGCACATTTCTTGCCTGGAGAAAAAAAAACTACATTTTTTATAAGCTACCAGCACACATCTGTGGCTACAAGCCACAGATTAGGTTCGATTAGGAATTAACCCTTTGAAACTGACACGAGAAGGATCCTAGAAAGTAATTTGTTTCAGCCAAAGACCTTTTCTTTAATAACCGTTCAATACATTGTTTTCAGAAAACACAAGAAATACAAGCCAATTGAAAACAGTGCTGAGAAGGTGGTCAAAGGCCCACAGGTCGTCCTCAGCCACACAGAGGCCGTGTTCTTCCCGGGAAACCAGGAGAAGAACCCACTGCTCAAGGACCGCTCGGGGGTGCTCTAAGCCTTCAGCCTTATTTCTGACCACCAGTCCGCTCTTCAGTGCCATTTATAAGAACTGTGCAGCTGTGGGTGATTGTTAGCTTTTTTTTCCCTGAAGTTTATTGTAAAATATACATCCTGATTTAGAGAGATCAAGTTTTAGGAAAGTTGAATTAAATCACATTTTAGAGAAGTGATGAAACAGTTCAGCAGTGCTTGCTTGCTTGTCGCCATCCACGATGTCATCAGTGATTAGCGGTGTAGACGCCCTAGCTCCCAAGAGTGGGCAACGACTGCTCCTTAGAACCTGACCCGGCTTCAGTAGGAGGACAGGCGAGCTGCCCCTGTAACATGTACATTACACCAGTGTAGTCCCGGCGTAAAGAGCAGGTTCCAGGCCACTGGATCCCATGTCACCTGATGTGCTCAAGCCCTGGCAGAACAGGAAGGGGTCTGAGTCTTTTGCCTGGTGTGTGTGCTTGCTATACTCAGAAAACAATGCTCATCTAACAGAAGGTGTGAGTACTGTACGTGGTGACAGCCTGCCCTGCCCAGCTGAGTGGAGGAATGATATTCGTTTACCTGTGGACATTTATTTAGTGCTTTCCGTGTAGCAGGCCAGCACCCACAGTGGGTGCCTGGGTATATACCTGAATGTGGACAGACCCTGAAGCACATATTTAGAATCATAAGTTCTAACTTTATAAAGGCGGCCCCTAGTTTTCCGACCAGTTCCTCTAAATGATATGGAACACTGATCAGTGAGGATTTTACCCCCTCTGCAACTGAAATCATCTGCCGAAGGTTAGACATGACATTCTTTTTCTGCTCTTCCTGAAAAATAATGTGGGAAAAAGAAACAACTGTGGGATTGTAATTATTTTCCCAATGTATCATTTGTCTTTTGATTTCACTTATAGTTTTTGAGAGGTAAAAAGTTCTGTAACATCACCCCCAAAGAGCACTGATAATCTCATGCATACTTTCTACTTTAAAATATATATTCAGAGCCAGGGGTTTACATCAGCAGCACAAGCACCTGCCTGGGAAGCACAAAGTCATGAGTTCAATCCTCAGTACCAATAAAATAAAAGATTTGTATATAATATGTGAAATTTCAATTGAATTGTAACCGATAATGTATATAATCAGGCCAATGGAAGAAAAGAGATCGGGGCTGAAGGGTTAGCTCAAGAGAGGAGCACTTGCTTGGCATTCACAGGACCCTGGGTTCAATGCCAGCACCACTAAAAGTAAAAAGAAGGACAAGTAGAGAGCAGGGCGCTAAGTCAAGGATCAGCAAATTTTGCTGTCGAGGGCTGGGTAGTAGTAACTGTTCTGGGTTTTGTGGATGATACAGCTTCTGTCACACAGTTTCACTGTCATAGCATAAATGCAACCATCATGGTTACACAAGTGAAAGAACGTGGCTGAATTCCAGAGAAAATCTATTTATAGAAACAGGTGGTGGGCCAGATTTGGTCCTTGGGACATGGTTTGCCTAGAGATGAAATAGACAACAATCATGAGAAGCTAGACTGGATCCTACATTGGAGAAGAAAATATATGTATGTATGCATGTATATATGGCTACAAAAGATATTTTTGGGACAACTGGAGAAATTTAATATAGCCCAGATACCAGATGGTATTAAGTAAGTTTTCATAAAAGGTAGGGAAAGTATTGTGGAACCAACATTTAGTCTAATTCCTTGGCTTCCTAAATGGCCTAGAGACTAAAAAGCTTTTTGTTCTGAAGTCACCTCCAAAGAATGCAAAGTCCGCTGAACAGAAATTGTGTGAGTTCCTCCTATTCATGCAATGGCTGTAAGGCAATGGTTCTCAGCTAGGGATGATTTTGCCCCTACCCAGGGGACACTTGCCAATGTTTAGGAGTTTGTGGTTGTCACAACCAGGGAGGATGTGACTGGCCTCTAGTGGGTAGAGGCCGGGTATTGCCTATGGCTGGCAAGCTCAGTGATAGAGCACTTGCCTGGCATCCACTAGGTCCCAGGTTCAAGTCCAACACTGCAAAATAAACAAACCATCCTGTAATCTATAAGACAGCCTAAAAATAAAGAGTCATCTGGCCCAAATCTCAGAAGCTTGGGTACAGACTACTTGAAGAAGCCCTGGACATTGATATAAACACAGAACATTTGGATTTGACCTTGGCTCTGCCATTTGAAGCTGAGTACCTCTGACATCTTACTGGACCTTTCTTGTGCCTCTTCTCCTGGTGTTCTCATCTGTAAAGGGAGTCAGCAGCCCCTCCTGCCTGACCCCACAGGGTTGCTGCAAATCCATCTGCAAGAATGAATGGAAGCAGTGAGGCACACTGGTGCACACGTGTAATCCTGGTGCTTGGGAGGCAAAGGCAAGAGGAGCACCATGAGTTCAAGACCAGCCTAGACTACATAGTGAGACCCTGTCTCAAAAACAAACAAACAAACAAAAGAATGGAAATAAAGTCAGGTATGGTGGTGCACATCGGTAGTCCCCGAACTCTGAGAGGCTGAGGCAGGGAGGTTGCATATTTGAGTCCAGCCTGGACAACTCAGCAACTCAGTGTGACATGCTCAAAATGTAAAAAGGCTGAGGATATAGCTCACTGCAGAGGCCCTGGCTACCGAGCAAGACAGACAAAAGAGAATGAATGGATGTGGAAGCATTTTGTGTGTGGCCTAGCAGTGTACACTGCACTACACTACACGTGAGGCCTGGTGACAGAAGTGCTCCTGCGAGGCTTCATCATTTTTGTGCTGACTGTGAGGCCAAAACATTACTACCTAAAGCAGAAATCTAACTTTAAGTTGCAACAGAGTCACCTGCAGACTTGTTAAAATAAAAATTGCCGAGCCCCATCCCAGGGGCCTCACTCGGTGTTGAGGTGTTGTGGGGAGAAGCCCCCTAATTTGGATTTCTAACAAGTTCCCTGGTGGTGCTGATGCCTGTATGCTCGGTCCCAGGACCTAATTTTGGGCCGGTCTCGAGACCTGCTCTTCCCTTGTAGTATTACAGAGGAAGCGATGGAAATCCTCAGCAAGCTTCTCCCAGTTCCAATCTAACAAATGGCCAGAGAGGGTAGAAACAGTGAGTTAAGATTCATATTGCCCAATTGACCCTGGCAATAAGTCATTTGACTTCTGTTGAATCTGTAAAATGGGGGAAATAACCTAAAAGACTTGATTAATGTTTGCTGAGAATTTAGGAGCTCCAGAGAAAATTGAACGTGTAGGTAATAAATTATTCCCGGAAGTTCATTTCCCTGGGTCTCTTATAAATGTCTACATTTTAGACAACTATGACTCATCCGTAAGCCTTGGTTACCCTGACTGAATTTTCCACTGCTTTCCAGGTTAGAGGGACAATGCGTCTTCTGCTTAGAACTATGTTGGCCACTCCCTGTGTCCCTGAGATTCTGGAATAAAACTGGCACTGGGGTTCTCCCACAGGCTGTTTGGAACGTGGGTGCCTTCATGGTATTTCAGTATTTAACCAATTTTCTTTGTATGTATAGCTTCTTCATAAATATCATGGTGTCACTCACTAAGCAGAAATCTTTCTTGAATTTGCAATGTAATTTCTCCTGGTAATTGCAATTGAACAGGTTTTAATAATGCAAATTAACCAGTAAGCTTCAAGCTTAATTTTAAGGTGTTTTAAAAAATAAATACCTTGAGAGTAAAAAGAAGAAAAAGAATAGAAGATTTTGTTGAGAATGCGGCAGAAGTGTTCTGTGCAGCGAAGGTAGTTGTTAAATTTGGCTGGAATTGAGCAGAGGAGGAGAGACGGGTTTAAATGGCCTGAGATGACGTCATCACCACAGGGTAGGGGCAGCCCTTTCCGCTCTGCCTCCTCTTAAAGAAAAGAGGGGAGGCGGGGGATTATACTGGGTGCACCCTGTCATCTCTGGTGCTAATGTTCCACTGTGCAAAGAGGACAACCTGAGCCAGCTTCCTCACAGACATGGCAGGAGAACTACATTCTGCATTAGGAGTCAGCAGACTCACTTCCTAGCCAAAGCCCATCCTCTGCTAAGTGTGGTTTTTGTATTTTTAAATGGTTGGTGGGGGAGGGGATAAAACTAGGGCTGGGAGTGTGGTTTACTCATTCAGTGGTTGCCTAACATGCATAAGGAGTTCAGCCTCAGATCTGCCCAAAAAAGGCCGCATTTTGTGACACTTAAAAATTACTGTGTATGACACCCACTTCCACTACTAAGATGGGGGTGGCAGGTGTTAGGCATAATATTCACTTAGCGTTCTGAGCTTTCTGGGCAGACTTGGTGACCTTGCCAGCTCCAGCAGCCTTCTTATCCCCTGCTTTGATGACACCTACAGCAACTGTCTGTCTCACATCGTGAACAGCAAAACAATCCAGAGGTGGATAGTCACAGAAACTCTCAACACACATGGGCTTCCCTGGAACCACGTCAATGATGGCAGTGTCACCAGATTTCAAAGATTTGGGCCCGGCTCGCAGCTTCTTACCAGACCAGCGATCATCTTGCTTTCAGTTCAGGAAACTTGTGATTATCTAGTACAGGAGCATAGCCAGCACTGATCTGGCCAGGATGGTTCAGGATAATCACCTGAGCAGCGAAACCAGCAGCTTCCATCCCACTGGGCCATTTAAGTTTAAGAGTGAAAGACTAGTTATGATACCAATGCACTGTGAAACTTTCAGAAGGAAAGAAGAATGTTTTGTGGACCATTTGTGTGTATGTGTGTGTGTGTGTGTGTGTGTAGGGCAGTTTTTAAGTTACTAGTTTTTAAAACCAACACTGTTTTGTTTTTTTGTTTTTTTGGTTTTTTTTTTTTGTCTTTTTGTCTTTTTGAGACAGGGTCTCACTGTGCAGTTCAGGCTGGCCTTGAGCTCACTTTGTAGCCTAGGCTGGTCTCAAACTCGCAATGATCCTCCTGCCTCAGCCTCCCGAGTGCTAAAACCAACACTTTTTAATGGAAACAATAACTAAACTGTCACAATTTTGAGAACCATTAAAAGAAAGTTTAATGAGAAAAAAAATTACCATGTATGAAAGATTTCAATGTCTGTAAGTAAAGTTTTACTGGAACCCAGCCACATTTTATTTACATATTATCAACTTCTACGTTCATGTTACAACAGCAACAACAGCAGGGTTGCTAGTGATAGAGACCATATGGTCTTCACAGTCTAAAAATATTTACTCTCTTGTGGGAAGCCGCCTATGAATGGCGCCCATTTCCTGCTTCCGGGTTCTTCCCGGCCTGAACAAGCCCGCCAAATTGTCATATCTGCCCAGTTAATAATAATAAAGTTTGAGAGCTGATCCTGCTCAAGTTTGGTCTCCTGTCTCCCGCGGCTCCGGTCATCTGGTGGCCCGTACGGGGAAGGTTCAGCGACGCGCGGGCGCAACTGCTGTCACCTGCGGTACGACGGAGAACCCGGCTCAATAACAACGGAAGGCCCCGAGCACCTCTTCTCTTCACCCTGATCAGCTACGTGAGATACAGCGGTTCCCGGGACAGGTGAGTACTGAATCGCCTGGGTTGGGTGGACGCACCTAACAGATTTTGAGCGCCACACGGGTGGACGCGGTCTTTTTTTTTCTTTCCCCTTGCATTTGTTTCGCTTTCGCTTTGCCATTATGGGCAACGCTGCTCGCAAACCCCTCGCTGACTCCCTAAGAGTCCTGCTGCGGACCCGAGGCATCTACATAAACCGGGTCACCCTTTCGAGGTTTCTGGATAGTGTTGATGAGATTGCCCCCTGGTTTTGGCCCACGGGCTCTCTAACCCTCCCGTCATGGGAGAAGTTAGGAGGGGATCTTAGATGCGCCCGAGAAGAGGGACGCTTGGATCCCATGGTTTTACCCCTGTGAGAACTGATTAGGGCTTGTCTGACGGACAAACAAACCCCCGGGCTTTGCTCAGCCCGACAGGCTCTTGACAAAGCTCGATCCGAGTGCTCGGAGGAGCCCGAAGTCACACCTGACTTTGGGCCTCCAGAGAAACACAAGGGCTCCGATTCTGATTCGGATTCGGAGGGCTCAGAAGAGGAGGTCGTCTTTGCTAAGCATGACCCTCCTACACCGTTAAAAGAGGAACTTAGGGCTCGGGAA